GCCCGGGTTTGCCCTGGCGGTGGCGACGGAGCAGAGTCGACTGCGGCTTCGCAGCGGAGTGGGCAGAAGGGGACATTTACGTCGCCCTCCTCCTCCTCCTCCTCATCATCGTCTTCCTTCTCCTCCTCGTCGTCCTCTTCGTCGTCGTCGTCGTCGTCGTCGTCGTCGTCGTCGTCCTCGTTGTCCTCCTCCTCCTCCTCTCCCTCCTCCTTCTCCTCTCTCCTTCTCGCTCCTCGTCGTCATCGCCCGTTACCGTCATCATCATCATAATCATCATCATCATCATCATCATCATCATCATCATCATCATCATCATCATCATCATCATCATCATCATCATCATCATCATCATGATCATCGTCATCATCAGCATTAACATCATCATCATCATCGTCATCGTCATCATCATCAGTATCAACATAATTATCATCAACATCATTATCATCACCATCATCATCATCGTGGTCATCATCATCATCAGTATCATCATCATCACCATCATCATCATCCCCATTATCATCACCACCACCATCATTATAATCAACATCATCACTATCATTAATATTATCATCATTATTCTTATTATTGCTTTTTACCCAGCGCCATCACCGTTATCATCGTCGTCATCATCATCACCATGATCGTAACCATCATCATCGTCATCGTCATCGTCATCGCCATCGCCATCGTCATCCTCATCATCATTGCTATCGCCATCGTGATCGCGATCATGATCGTGATCGTGATCGTGATCGTGATCGTGATCGTGATCGTGATCGTGATCGTCATCATCATCATCATCATCATCATCATCATCATCATCATCATCATCATCATCATCATCATCATTATCAGCAGCAGCAGCAGCGTCGTCGTCATCATCATTGTCCTTGTTAGAGGCCTTGCGGCCGTTGCCGCCGACCCTGAAAAGGGGACATCATTGGGCGGCGAGCCTGGGGAGGATCTGGGAAGGGGTGGGTCTTCCCAACAGGCGTGGAAGTCCTCCGGCGTTCTTGGAAGTTCTCTGAGCCTTTCCCGAAGACGCAGAAGACTTCTCCGAAGGCCGGGGTTGCTGGGAGAAACTTGCCGTATGAGAAAGACTTTCCCTCTCACTTCCCCCCAGGCGCGCCGCCCCAGCGCAGGCTATGTTTCTGGATCCGATTTGTTCTTTGTCATTGCCAATCTCTCCTTTGTGCTCCTCCGCCATTCTCTGGTCCAACTGCTCCTCCCGCTCCTCCGACCCCTGCTGCTGCTGCTGCTGCTTTTTACTCTTCTTCGTCCTCCTTCTATCCTTTTTTTCCATCCGCCGCCACCACCTCCGTCTACAACGTACAATGGCCCCCGTCCTCATTACGCATCACGTGATGGGGTCATGCTGGGCACCACGGTTCCCTGGGACACCCCAGCCGACGGCTAGATATTTATACAGCGAATTTGGAAATGATGAGTGGCATGCGTCGGATCTCACGCATGGCGCGAACTCACCTAACTTGTTTTCTCCTTCTCTCGCTTAGTCCCCCTCCTCTCCCAGGGCAGGCGAGAAGATGCCGTGCGGAGAGCGGGCGGCTCTGCCAGGGCAGACGGTAGGTCTTGGCTCGGCAGTGACAGGCAGCTGCAGGCAGGTGTAATTCTCGGACTGCTCTCACCTGCGCGGTCCGGCGGAGTCTGCTGTCGCGGGGGAGTCCCGGAAACTGGACGCATGGTTTTGGCAGAAACCGAAGGTGCGAATCTGCCTCCTCACGTTGTCCATGTGGCCCGGAGGTGCCCCCGAGGACAGACAAGAGCGTACAAGCTCAATCAATGCCGTTGGTGCGAGACCGGGGTAGCCTCCGGCGGCGTCTTTCCCCGGCCCCACAGTGGGGGCAGGCGGCGGAGCCCGGCAGGGCTCGGAGGGATGAGCGCGTCGTTTCTCTCGGCCGCTCCAGTGACCAAATCGTCCCAAGCCGGCTTGAGCAAAGCCGGCAGCGGCGAGACAGCTGAGGCATAGGGGGGCAAACGGGGCACAGAGAGGCTATCCGAGAGTGGGCAGGGGAGATAATCCAGGGAAGTAGCATTCTTACGACACGGATCTTTCATTTTTGTGGATTGGTCCCCGTCGCTTTCTGACTCAAAAGCAGTTTCCAGAACACAAGTAAATTAGCACATGGATGGCGGGAGCGACCCGCAGAATGAAACACGAATTCTTCACGCTTCGCGTATCCCCACCAGCCCATCTCACAGCAGCAACTCTTGCGAAGCATGCCGACAGTCGTGTTTTTCAGGCGTGTGTCCGCCTGCCCCCGCATATCTCCGGGCCTCTCGTCCTGGTGTGAGTCGTTCGGGCCCTTCTTCCTGGTGTGAGTCGTTCGGGCTCTTCGTCGTGGTTTGAGTCGTTCGGGCTCTTCGTCCTGGCGTGAGTCGTTCGGGCTTCTCGTGGTGTGAGTTGTTCGGGCCCTTCGTCCTGGTGTGAGTCGTTCGGGCTCCTCCTCCTGGTGTGAGTCGTTCGGGCTCCTCGTGGTGTGAGTCGTTCGGGGCCCTCGTCCTGGTGTGAGTCGTTCGGGCTCCTCGTGGTGTGAGTCGTTCGGGCGCCTCGTCCTGGTGTGAGTCGTTCGGGCCCCTCCTTGTGGTGTGAGTCGTTCGGGCTCTTCGTGGTGTGAGTCGTTCGGGCCCCTCGTCCTGGTGTGAGTCGTTCGGGCTCCTCGTGGGGCCTCTTGGGGGCCTCTTGGAGCCTCTTGGGGGCCTCTTGGGGGCCTCTTGGGGCCTCTTGGGGCCTCTTGGGGGCCTCTTGGGGGCCTCTTGGGGGCCTCTGGGGGTCTCTTGGGGGCCTCTTGGGGGCCTCTTGGAGGCCTCTTGGGAGGCTCCTGGGGGCCTCTTGGGGCCATCTTGGGGCCTCTTGCGACCGCCTCAGAAGCGCAAAGGAGCGCTGCCCCCTGAGAAGGACAAAATGAAGCCAAAACCTGCGTAAAATCAATGATTTTGCTATGAAGGAAGATGAGCGCGGCCCCCTCAGGAGGCCAAAATGGGGCCAAAACCGTAGTAAAATCAATGATTTTGGCTTCGAAGAAGAGCAGAGGGGCCTATCTCCCTCCCCCCGTCGGGGCCAGAATCCTCGTGAGGGTCGTCGTTTTTTAGCCCTCCCAGGAGTCGAAAAAGACCCCTCTGACCACCCGCGGGGGTCCCTCTCCAGGCCCAGGGGGAGGGGGTAGGGGGAGGGGTAAACCCCTCCCCGAAGGGGAAGAAGGGGGGTTGAGGACAGAGCGGGCTCTCTAAACCACTCACGCCCAAAGGGCTGGTGGGATTTCTCCACTTCAAATTCTGCCAGCAGCTAATACTGTCATCAAATCTCTTCAGCAACGCTGTACAACACCAGCTTCGAAGAGCAGAATCGGATAATCGTATTCCGCGGGGGGAGGAAGAGGAATACAGTTCCTGAAACGCGAGCGTACAAAACATGTAATAGCCTCGGCACAGCACAGAGAACTTGGGACGAGGACAGAGAGGGGTCCGGTCTTCACTCACTAGGCGCGAGCAGCTTTTGTTGGGGAGTTGCTGCCTTGATCGCGCGGTCCATCTCGCTACGGCTCGAGCGCTCCTGGCGTGAACTTCTTGTCCTTCATCAACTCTCGCATGCGCGCCTGTCAGCGCTCTCGGACAACACGCCTTGCAGTCTTAACCATCTCCTCTCGAGACTCGATACTCCATGTGCCACGCGTCAGCGCCTCTCGAAGGTTGTCGGCCGGCATGTCCTTCTTCTGCACATCGCTCAGCATGTTCGTGCCATCCGTCCACCTCACCATTGCCTGCGGTGGTCCAGGATCTCCCCCATACTCGCCAGCTCCAGGTTCACTGACTTCTGCGCCGAGCTCCCAGCGCCCGCGTCCGAGTTGAGCCTGTCGTGGCCGTGCCTGCTGCCCGTCACAACTGTCATGTGCACCTGCCAGCCAGACAGCTTCATGCCAGCGCCCCTTGCCACGGGACCGTGCAGCATTTCCGCGATGTGATCGCGCACTCGTTGGGCCACGCCCACGTCGTCGCCCGCGGCCATCGCCTCCGCTGCGTAGGAGCTTCTCGCGGCCCTCTTTCGTATGTGACTCCTGCCCTCCAGCAGCGAGAACCGGCCAACGCCGCCGTCCGGTCAGCGAACGTCGTGAGGTAGCCGCCCTGGGTGCCGATCTTCGCCGTCGCCGGGTCCGACTGCAGCGCCGCGCCGTCGGGCATCGCGTTGCCGAGCGAGCTGTCGGACACGCCCGCCGAGCCAAACCGTTGCAGGTCGATCGGCCGCATCGCGATCTTGAGCTTGGGGTCGCGCTTCAGCTCCCTCAGCGCCTGGTTCGCCCTGGTCAAAGCCGATGCCCATCGGTCCTTCCCTGCGAGCCCTCTCGCGCTGCGGCGCCGCCAGGTCGTGCGAGTAGTCGACCCTGAGTTTCGTCACCAGCCGATTGATCTTGCCAGCCACCTGCTTATATTGCTTCCACTCCATCGCGTTCATTGGCAGATTCGCCGCCGCGCGCCGACTCCTGGGCGCAGTCGCAGGCTCCAGGCTGGCCGCATGCTCCATCATGTCGCTGTGGATGGCTCCACCTGGCTGTCGCTTGAGGCGGCGGCTGCAGAAAGCGAACTCATCGAACTCCTCACTGCCAAAGCCAAACTCCTTGCCCAGAGCATCCATCACCTTTGCCATCTTGTCGTTCCCCGTCCAGAGGAAGTCGTCCACGTGAATGAATGCATGCGCAGCCCCGCAGGCTGTAGGGCCCTCGCTTCTTCGTCTTCGGGTCGTGCAGCACCGGGAAGGCGCGGTCCGACCGAGAAACCTTCAGTCGCAGCTTGCGAGCCGCTGAAAGCACCTTCAAGTGCTAGAGCCTCGGCGCCGTCGGTAGTCCAAACACGACTTTCCGAACTCTCGCAAGCCGACCTTGTGGAAAATCGACGAGCGCAGGTCCGTGTAGACGAGCGCGAACCACCGGGCCGCGCTCACCCACCTCGCCCTTCGGCAAGGCGCCGCTCGCGTCCTTGGGCCCGAA